CCATGAGTCGGCAAAACCTTTTGTTTGTTTGGAGTCATTTTCAATAAACTGTTGCATATTTTGTGTATCAGTTAAGAAAGTATTATAATGAGCCTCTGGATGGCAACAACTGGTTGAGGCAGTTCTCACAATAAACACATTTTTTTAAAATAAAATATTTGGCTTTATTTCTTACGAATTTATATATACGAAAACTTTAAATGAGTATTCTGATGAAAAGATGCCGCGATACTTTCAATGGTTGAAACGAATTTTCTCATAACTGATTTGGAATATATTCTTTTATCAATATTATCATGACATTAATTACACGTCTCTACGCGTTGAACATAATGTAGAACTGTACTTTAATATATCGATAATTAGCCTACATAATCTAAGGACATGAAGAATACAGGTCGCACCAACTGTTTAGCGATGGATCCAAACACAGAAATCAATACGAAATGGACGATTAGCTGTTAAAAATATTGATCAATATTGACATATTATGCCAATTTTTATCTTTGTTTTATCTGTTATCAATCGATGTCTTGGTTGCCCCCGATGTACTGACAACTCACTGTTTAAGTGAATTCTAAAGATCATAGAAATTGAGCACAATGGAAAACTAAGACGCTTGTTTGCCACCATTGAAATAGAAACAATTTGGAGAATGGTGTTTAAAAAAAATTAGGTTCCATAAATCACATAATAAAACATTGTGGAGCAGGAAGCATTACATGTGGATTCGGTGCCCGATAACAAGTCATAATAGCGGTTACTTCGTCTCCTTGTAGAACTTCTGTGTTTTGAGTTTCTATGTTACATAAAGGTATGATGAAGACCCAAGCGGACAACTTGTACTGTTACCGATTTTTAGTAGTGGCCGTATACATAACATTTGTTTCAGTAAACAGCCTTGGAAATTTTAAACTAGCGACTTTCAGATCGTACCAAGGAACCATATCTTCCAGTTCATGTGAGAACGCGTCGTCCAGTCATGACTCGAAAATAGACTGTGCTCGACTTTGTTCATACTCGCAAAACTGCTCAGCTTTTTTTATTGGCACGGGGGATACGTGCTCCATCTGTGAAACCGTGGAGGACATCGAGTTCAACGCCACGAGTCAGTTCTTCCTGAGGCACCCTCGGTGGTTTACCCGCGCCACAACGAATCTGTATGGCTGCCCGGCGGTCTGAGAGTCGGTCAACTCATCGAACTGAAAACGAGGGTCTCCTCCGCTGACCCCGAATGCGGAACATGCATGGAGTTCAACACCGGGGATTCCACGTCGCGGGGAAGTGATGTGGCCTTGGTGTTCTGGGCACATTTCAGCTTGAGTCACTTCCACAGGGAGGCACGCGTTGGCGGAAATTGGGTGATACGAGAAAAGGATTTCGTAAACGACACTCTGTTCTTCGACACGGATTTCACAATCAGTTTCCTGGTCGGAAAGAGCGAATTTAGAATTCACATGGACGGGTATCTCTACTTCACGTTTACGCACATCGTTAAAAATCTATCGAGGATACAGTATTTCTGCTTGGCGTGCAACGCTTTGAACGAATGCGACAGAGGAGTTATTTTGGACAGTGAGTTGCGGTTCTAAACTGTGTGTGTGGGGGGAGGGGATCAAGAAATCTATTAAAGCATCACATTTGTAGAATTTTTTTTAAAGTGTCTTTCTATAATATGCGATTGGCCACATCAATGTGATCCGCCTCTCTGACAATATTCCGTCTAGATGTAAAGCAACATGGTCAAAAGGAACTCCACATCAACATGAACTTATCTTAATTAGACAGCATTCATTATGCACTCAAAATGTTTCATTATAACAATTTATTTAAAAACTGATTGGCAGGTTTCACTTCAGCTATTTGTGTTTTAAATTTATTGAAAATTATATTAAATCTTTCTTCAATGTTGCCAGTGTCATGCTTCTACGTGTGTGGCAGTGTAGAGGCCACAGTTTACGAAAACAGTGTGTAGCGCCCCAAAACTGCTTTGGCATTTGACCTCGTCCAACAATGGATTGGAATGTTGACCTCGGGTATCAATTCACACCCCCCCCCCCCCATTTAGTATTACCAGCGTGTCTCCCACATCACTTAGAATATCTGAATAGTGGGAACAACTCGGTGTACGTTAGTTATAAGTTCAATCATTTATTTCGCCGGAACCCTAGTGCTTCATGCTATGAATTGTATCTAGTTGGAAAGGGGATTTTATCCACTGTACTTTTAGTATATTTACTAGTCTCCTTCGTCATAGGATATTTTAATATTAAGTAATTAAGGGAGTTTTTCACCCATGGAGAGTCCCAGCCAGTTTTATTTAAATATCTCAAAAACCATTTAACTCATAGAAATACAAGATACTATCTTAGGTAGCCGAGACTAAAATGTAAAGGACACATTTAAGTCTTTAAGGGTTTGGCCAGGGATTTGAACTATTACTCAGGTTGTAGTCCCCAGGGTTTGTCATTTTACCGCAGGAAATCTGCCAGAAGGCAAGTATTTGACCGTCGTGGACGGGGTGCGACGTGTATGCTCTCTAGTCTGTTCGCGGGCTACTATTTGTGTTTGTAGAATGCAATTGTTTGGTTTTAGTAATGGAAGATTTCTTTTCATGATTTATATTAGGCAGTGTTTAAATCACTTATAAGCTCCATCAATTTGAATTGTAATCATGGTAGTGTGATGGCAGAACATACAGCCATTCACTGAATTCTTAAATAGAATTAGATACCAGTGTGTATGTGAGCACAGAATGCAACCGTTATATTGCCCTGGTTACACATACTGCAATGTGCTTATAAGAATATACGTAAAATATGTGTAGTAGGCTATCTCTCCTGGCGTGTGCTAAATTCTCACATAGGAAATGGCGCATGTGTTAGACCAGCGGTTCTCAACCGTCCTAGTGCCGCGACCCTTTCATACAGTTTCTCGTGTCGTGGCGACCCCCAGCCACACAATTATTTTCGTTGCTACTTCATAGCTGTAAGGATATGTGTTTTCAGATGGTCTTAGGTGACCCCTGGAAAAGGGTCCCGCGACCCACAGGTTGAGAGCCGCTGTGTTAGGACAATATTACCAGCTGTATTAAAATACTTAGTCATTCGGCAATTGGCTTTGGTCTTAAGGAGACACAACGATTGATTGATTCCAGTATATAACTAACGGTTTTTATACCTTACACCATTGTAATACCTGTTCTGCTAGGGTGCATCTTACATAGACACCTTACATGGACGACAGTACCTTAGTAATTTCTAGACCTTTATGTTAGCCCTCACTTTTCACACTGATTCTGAACATAATGCAGTGTACGTGCTACAAGTTAAACACTGCCACGTAAACAATTTTATAATTACACATTATTACAATAACATAATTTTATCTGTCATTTGTATAACATTTACTACTCCCTTCTTAGTCATGTATATTTTGTCACAGCTTGTAATTACGTATTTATTTAACATGTTTATAATCATCTGTGTTATTCAGTTTTTCTCAGGACAGTGTCAACATGCACTATTTGTTTCTTTTCAGGTATTGTCCTTTTTCTGTAGCATCTTTCTTCCCCCTTTTTCTTTATATTTTTTCTTTGGCAAAGTTTATAATAGAGCTACAGTCCTCAAGACCTGAATTCTTTAAGTGTATATTAGTCAAACTGTCAGCCTCGTTCATCACCAACACAATGCACTTCGCTACACATGTGCTACTTACCGTATATACTCGCATATAAGCCGATTTAGAACTATAAAATACAATACTGAAATCAGGGGGTCGGCTTATATGTGCATAAAACAAAATGGACACAAGGACAGACACTGATGGCAATTTTTCCAAAACATTTTCTAAATATATAATTCGTTAATCATAAATTATGAACAACTTATAAGCGGAAGTTCAGATATTATTATAGCAAAGAAAGAGCAGAACACTTTTTTGTGTCATACCAAAAGGTAAAGAAACTGGTATGTAACATAAAAGTAAGCAGTTTACATCTTTACAGTAACACATTTCTATGTACCAAATATTTGGAGTAAAATTAGACACTTTTATGGTCGGCTTGTATGCGGGTTTTCGCAAAAACTGTCCATTTTAAAGAAGTTTTAAGGGGTCGGCTTATATGCGAGTATATACGGTACTTACTTACTTATGCCGTTTTACCCACTCAGGGGCATAGGCCGACCACTCTACACATGTTTAGCACCAAGAAATTTCTTTTGAATTTCCACGGTCATGTTTATCTTGTAAATATACAATATCTGCAGTTATATTAGACGGTATCATTTCCTCTTGAACCTTGATGTTTCCTCTTTCGTCAATGTCTTTTACGGTCTTAAATCCCATGGAATGATTTTTAAATATTTCTCGTGTTGATTGCCTACAATCGCGAAATGTATCACAACATAATAATGAATTATGATATTTGCACAAACGTTATAATTGTTTCCTAGACATTTGAAATCTGCATTCCGCTATTATTCATTTAGGAAATAAAAATTAATTTAAGAGTTTGAGTATTCTATCATTCAGGCCTGAAAACAGTTTGTCGGCTCACCAATCTGAACATTAAATGCTCCAGTCAAACTATGAAGCAAACAATAGAGCATTTAACCGCTGATCCAACAACCATGCGACGTCCAACAATGTGACCGCTTTCTCCTTAACGTTATCCTCAACATCCTGCTGAAAAAAAATAGAAAGAGCTTCTCCTAGCGATACACCTCTGTTGATATAGTTTTGTTCTGAAGCTGTCAGAGTTTTAGTTATCGTGATCTCAAAACTATATTTGAGACCCAACCGATTGTCAAGACGATAAAGTGTTACAGTAAGGGGTCTGCGGGATTACTCGAGCACAATATCATGTCATATGACTGACACACATACTGAAAGGGGTCTGCTAACGGGGATCTACAGAATGAGTCACGTGACATAACATTGTATTTTAAGACTATAAGCAAGGTGAGAACAGGGAATTGATGTTTATTTACTAATTCATAGAAGAGAAAGGAAGAGAGCAGACAGAGGTCAACGAATATGCAGGTAATGAGTGTAAATGTATGTCCCGTGTCATATCATCGGCGCTGTCTGACTTGGGATTCAAGGAATATTGAAATATCTCACGAAGATGGCGAGGACATCAGCTCGGCTTGTCTTCCCAGCAGTCCATTTCACGGCTTCATTCCCCTGGGCGTATAGAAACACGGGGAGTGCCTCGTTTTGTTCCCACGGACAGACTCCATTCTGGTTGTCAATTGCAACAAACCAACCGATATCATTTGGACATCCGTTATATGAATGATTTATAAAGAATTTCCTGCCATTATAACTTGGAGTGGTTTCTCCAATAATGCTAAAGTAGTTTGCGGGTTTCGTTTTCAAATCTGTCCAGGAAGAGTCCTTGACCCTGTTTCTGTCAAACCAGTTCAGGTACGTGGACCCGCTGCCGTCAAATAAAACATGCTTCACCTTCGTGTTGTTCTTGTAGAGCACAAATGCGACCTCATCAATGGTCCCCCAGTTGTCCAGAATGTCGTTGTTTCTGTAGTGGTGTGTGCATGGAAGAGACGAGTCCAACTGGAAGAAATAATCTAACAGTTGGAAGTTATCTGCTTGATCAAAATATGAAGCGTTTTTAATCATGGAAATATTTCTTTTAAAAAAAAAATTTCCTTTCCTCTGTGGCGAAGGAAGGGGTGAGGCCGGTTCAAGATATGAGCTCGACAATAAACCTAGATACGCTGCTGCCTTTTCTATATTATATAAAGTAAAGAGACGAAAAATTAAAATTAAGGCGACTACACTAAGACTTATTTTCAAATCTATTAAAAATCCAAGGTTATCAATATCACGATTTAAACTAAAAAAATGAATGGTCATCATACATTAGGACATGGGGAAATTTAAGAATACGAAATTTCAAGGCATAATTCATGCGCATGGTTCATAGTGAAACCTTCATGGTAGATGCAAAGATCAATTTCACCAACCTGTTGGCACCCACTTTCCACATGTACAGGTATTCCAGTCCCGTCTTTGTAAGCAGAGTACATTGACTTATTTATCCCGGCCGTACCACGGAAAGCAAGTTTCCATTGACTTTTGAGGATGTTGTTTGGGCAGAGGATGTCGCTCTTAACTAACTGAAAGGAAATTCTGTCTGCAAAATTATTCATCATACTTACAATAAATGAATTACTTAAAACCTAGTTACCTTTTACACGTTTCTCTTTTTTCATTTATTCTTAATAATCCCATACATATTTTGTAGCGTCAATTTTGTTGTGCCCAGGTGATCTTGACGCTTTTTTTACTGGCGTCTGCCTCTTCCAGCTAACGGGAAGAGGCGGGTGGGTAGAAGCACTCCTGGACACATACATATATAAATATATATATATATATATATATATATTTCTATGAAATTAGCATAATATACTACTCAATGAAGACGTATGATGGGAAGCATCGAAAGTAAATACCTTTTGAAAACTCTCCAAGCTCTCATTGATTCTTTGAGACTGTGAGCTCAGAAGGTCTTCTAACTTTTCAACAAAGTTGTTTAAAACAGCTTGTACAGGTAAATTCTGCCCTGCAGGTCTTGTCACGGTTAAAACACTCTCAACACTGAAACTTGAACTGATGAAACGAACCTCGCACAAGAATTCGCCCTCCGCGCAATCTTTTTTACTTCTAAAGAACAACTCAACCGTGGCGCCGTCTGTAGAGAAGTGTGATTGTTTCAAAATAACGGTGCTGTCTGTCCGCGGTTGATGACTCGTGAGTACGGATACGGACAATAATTTGGTACCTCTCCTGGCAACGTCGACGATCTCCACTGCCAAGACTGATGCGATCTGTTTGTTAACACTTTGTTGACAGCGTAGAATACCACAGACGTTGTCGTTGGCCGGCGTCGCTTGTTGGTGGCTAAATGTAAGATTGATGCCTGGACATGGGAGATTTAACAAGACAATAATTTTGATCATTTTAAAAATAATTTTTAGCCTTTGTTTCTATTTAATCACCACCTCTGAGGGGCATTATTTATTTTTTAAAATATGTTATTATTATTATCATAATATCATTATTAAGGGTTTTTTTTTTAAACATAACGATACATTTAATAATGTAATAGGAATTTATTGAAACTCAATACACATGCATTTTTGTAAACACTTTATATTTTTTATCTCATTAATGATTTTTTAAAAATTCATTAATTAATATCATTTTAGTTTACCAACCATTGCAAATTCCGAAAACCAAAAATATGGCTATTAGATAAGAGACGTTAATCAGTTCCATTTTGTGAAAATCTTGTTTCACCTCTGTATGTTTCAGTGACATTTCCCGTCTACTTTTAACGTATTCAGTGCTTGCTCATGGTCCTACCAATCAATATTTATATTCGCAATAAACTGCAATTAATTTGACACTCTCCACGTTTACTGTCGCTATATTTCTGCAAAAATATAAGCTGAAGTGGGAGGAATTATATACATTGTTATGAAAACTGTGTAAAACGTTATAAAAATATATATTAAATAACGCATGCGCCAATCCCTTACATAACAGAGACTGTACAACGCCGACAATGGGAGGTGCAATATAAAAAAGTTATTAAGGCAACAGCTTGTGTCATTTGACAGAAACAAATATTTCTATGCTAGTAACCAAAAAATTGTATATATATATATATATATTATTTACTAGCCAAAGTACCCGGCGTGCCCAGGTTTGCCAATCCAAAAAGGATCCCAATCTAGACGGGATCCCTTTCCAGATCCCAATAGGATGGGATCCTTATTTAATCCATTTTCCGATGGGATCCCGTTTCCCAGTGGGATGCTGATCCCGATTGGAAATCAATCTCGGTGGGATTCCGACCACGGTGTTTCCTGATCCCATCAGCATCCCGATATCCAGTTTCCCGGTCGGATCTCGATCCCGGTGTTTCCCAATACCATTGGGATTCCAATCCCATTGGTGTCCCGATCCCGTTTGGACCATGTCCCGGTGTTTTCCTAATCCCACCATTATCCCGATCCCAAGGATCCCGATCCAGTCGGTATAAAGAACCCAGTGCTATCCCGATCTTGGTACGATCCCGATAGTATTGAAATTAAGAGAAATAAACTAAAATTTTAGAAAGCTTTTAGATCCCATTTTATATATTTCCGTATAACAATATACAACTTTCTGGAACATTCTAGAAAATAATTTAATATCCTCCTCGAAACGTGTAAGAAATTATTTTGCTATATTCCATTTTAATTTTTTTTAAATTAAATTTTCTTGAAAAATATAGACTACAGAGTTCCCGATCCCGGGGAGATCCCAGTCTCTATGGTATCCCTAAACTGTTAGGATCTTGATCCTGGTCGTATCCCAATATTGATAGGATCCTGATACAGGTTGGTTCCCTGGATCACAGTCCCTATGGGATCCCGATCCCAGTTGTAGCATGAAACCGGTGGGATCACGTTTCTGCGGAATCCCGCACCCTTGTTGTGTCTTGATCCCGGCGGGAAGCTACTCTGTTTTACACAAATTTAAAAGTAGCTCATATCCATCAATTCACATAGAACCTAATAACGTTGTCTGAGCATATTGATAATTATAAAGCTGATATCAGGAAAAATGAAATGGGGCCCTCGGCCCACGAGGAACTGATATTGTGAGTCCAGTACCTTTCAGTATTTGAATATGTATAACCAAATGTATGTGTAATAAATTTGGTCAAGATCATTCTACTTATATAGGAGTATTAGTTGTTAATTTTATTTATGCAGGTCGTATAAGAGAGAAAAAATGAATTTGCCCCCCCCCCGGCCTCAATCTAAATGTTATAAAAAGTTCATTAACCCCAAAGAGTTCCTTTAGGATAATAATGAATAGATGGGCCAATTTTTGTCACGTTCCATCAATCCATGTAAAAATGTATGTGGAAAGCCACAAATGTTCCCTTTTATATATAATATATATAATAGCCAATATACCCGGCGTTACCCGGGATTGCATCGGAAACACAACAACTTCTACAGCCTTTTAATTAACATTAAAATTAAGCACCATGTAAAAAATAAAAAAACCTGTGGTAAATTCGTTTTTCCCTTATATGAGCAATAAAATTAACAACAAATACTCCTACATTAATTGATGGATCTTGACCAAACTTAGTGCACATACATTTGATCATCCATATCCAAATACCGAATGGTACTGAACTCATGATATCCATTCCTCTGAGGCCGTGGGGCTCAATTTCATTTTTCGTTACATAAGCTATATAAATATTAATAGGCAGAACCGGCAATAGGTAAACTTTTGCCCTTTCCGAAGCGCACTTTCGGCGCCCCTTCCCTGTCCCTGTATGGCGCCGTTCTTTTCTCCGGTTACGACAGAAGCTATCTAGCACGTGTTATGATGCTATACATGTGGCTAATAAGACGTATGTTTACATGCACAGTCATTTAGACTGTTTAGTTTTTTTACTGTACTTTGGGTTGGTCCCAACCCCAGGGGAAAGCATCCAAATTAAAGATGCAATTTTCACTGTACGAAAAGTTAGAATACCGTTTTCGACCCCGGACCCTGGGTTCCCACATCACTATAACTAAAGTCAAGGAATATAAATATTTACTGGGAGACTCGGGCGACCCTATGGCCACGGCGCCCTGTTCTATGGCACAGGTGGCACACCCTAAAGACCAGCCTTGCAATAGGCTTAGATAACACTATAGGTTCTATGTGAATTGATGGATATAGGTCTAGTTTTGTAACCATACACTTCCGTACTGAAATATCGATGGATTATAAATGAATACTATCCAATCATTTGGCGGCGTTATAGATTGTTGATGAGTTTCTACCAATGTTATATATAACACTCTACAATATCATATGAAGAGGAAGGGAGATGTGGTAGTCCGTCCTGGGATGCACATTATTTCTCTGTATTGAGTAACGTGAGTCTCGACCAACTACAGAGTTTTTTTTCGTATGAGAGTGGCGGCAAAAATCTTAGCCGCCTCGGATGGATTATTATTTTTTTTAACCTTGAGGATTGAGAGAAAAAAAACAATGTATTTTCCATGCCTTGAAAAAAATAAATAATAATTATAATATAAAAAAAAAAAAAAGACAAGTCCTTCTGTTACACTATTTGAATTGAATATTTTATTTTTTAATGTAATAGTTTTTTTATCCTACCATTTGTTTTGGCTGTAGCGCCACAGGGATGGATGGATTTAGTTTTGAAAATGTCATATGTGTAGTTTTATTGGTGGAAAGTTTAAGATGTCATAAAAGTCCACTGCTGCATGGGCGCCCGCAGAAAACTTTCTAGGGGGGGGGGGGCAAAAAAAATCGATTAACTTTCCAGGGGGGGGGGCAAAAAATTTTAGTAATGTTTTATACATCAAAATTAAAACTGTAGCGTATTTGTATGGTGAACGAACGGACAGGACATCAGCTTAGTTACTTTCTCTTTATTTTCTCTTTACTTTAATACATTTTTTGTCTATTTTTGTCTAAAAATTTTGTGTCCAATCAATGCAGGGGGGGGGCAAGTGCCCCACCTTGCCCCTACCTGCGGGCGCCCATGCACTGCTGTGATGCTTTTTTTTGTTTTTACGGTGCAAAGCACTAGAATTATTAGCCTGTGGCTACTACGAGTTTGTAAACAGATGAGTATCGGAAGCAAATCTGTACACAACATGATACGTCTTACATGACAACAATTTCTGGCCGCGACACACGCCCTGTCGTTAACATTTGTATTCTGTATGACCATTACTGAAGCTGAACGTGTTATTGTTTTATTTACACAAACTGTTTGTGTCGAATCAATCTGCTTTAGAAAAGATGTTATCTCAGTCTCATAACGCGGCAAATCAACAGTAACAGGCACAATGTGACATCAGACACTGATGTTACTCGTGTATTGTGTTATTAATACAATCATACATTTTCAAGAGATGCATTTTCTGTTTCGGTTTTGTGGACTTCTCTGCCGGTCACTTTCGTTCCGTTGTTTTTTTCCTGAATTTTGGTGGGGATTATTCTTTTTCTTTTTCTTTTCTTTCATTTTCTTAATATTAGTAAGTAGGAAATATATATATTTATATATATATATATATATGTATATATATATTTATATATATATATATATATATATATTACCTTTTTAAAAGGCTTTCAGCCAAATAAAGATTTCTGTTTTTACAATCTGAACTTGCTTTAACTTAAATTGTTAAGTAATTTATTTTTAGGCTTGAAATGAAAAGACATGACATTTAAAAGAATATAAGAGTTTCGAGNTATATATATATATATATATACAGAATTTTATGTAAAGTTTAATTTACTTTAATGTTATTTATTATGCTGTTCTATTAATGCAGGTATACGCCGACACTTATTTATGTGTCTTTTTTCTTCTAATAATTACAACTAACATACACTGATAATAATTGATGGAATGCATTCAAGTTGTGTAAATGAATAATAAGAACAAGTTATGCTAAACTTGAAGTAATGGACAGGAAGAAAGATTTGAACTTTCCGGCTTAGAGCCTTCATCAGCAAACATGCACTGTTTAATGACGCAAATTTTGTGTGTTTCATTACTACTTAGTAAGCTTTATCGCAGTCCAGCCCTTCTACTAAAAGTTAGCTATGCACCATGCCTATGCAGCTGTGCACACCAACTATGAAATTTCCGGAAAGAATATCTGATACTAATGCTTATCAGAGGTACGATGCACCAACACTCACGAAAGTAGACATCGACACTTTTGCTCAACTTTGCAACAAATTGGTGTCCTGTTTATACCACAAAACACTTACCAGGTTTTGTGCTAGAAGACTCAATATTGATGGTTCACAATGACGTACTATCCATGTCGTCATGATGGTAAGGTCTATTTTGTCTTTAGCGCTCCATTTATTGTTGTATTTTTTTTTCCTTCAAATAAATGATATCTTTAACTTGTTCCTGCTGTAATTGTATCAGTTCACTAAATTAAGACACCAAGAAAATAAAATTTTCAAATTCCATGTGTTTTTACGGCTGCTTACTTGTAGCCTTAGGCTTTGGGTTAGGTTTATGGATCAACTGTTAACTTATTTCATTTTTTTTTACATTGGGGAGGGGTTCTGCCTCCCCAGATAATTTATTTATAAATACCAAAATCAGAAACAGTGGGGGAGGAGTCTGGGAAAAAAAAAAGCCAAAAATAATTCTAAAACCAAGAAATAATTAAAACCCAACTTACAGTTTCATGAAATACACTTTTACACACTTTATTACAGGTTCCGATAGTTCCAAATAAAAAAAAAATATGCACATATAATTGGAGCACAACTGCGGCATTAGGCCAACATTTTGAACTACATTTTGGCTGCCATCTTGGTTGGCACTTCACGTGACTTCACGTGGAGCGTCAACTGAGATGGCCGCCATGATGGGAAACCCCGGGTATCAATCTCAACATTTACCAAGAAAGAAATTGAGCCCCTAATACTATCAAGCTAGAAAAATTTATTTTGTATATTTTGATTTTAAATGTACGATGTAGGGTAATCCACCACTTGAGCGTCGGCTACAAAAAAAAATACAGTTGTTCCGGGTTTGGTGTGCTATTAAACAAATTTTTTAATGACATTGTACTAATTCATTTCAGCACATATAATTTAAGACAAATACACAAAGGCATATTTTGTAAACTAGAAAAACTAATACAGTTTTAAAATGTTTTAAAAAAGAAGAATTTAAACAATTTGGATCAACAAAATTTTGTCGATGCACCACAATAGAGTGCTCGCATATTCCATTTCTGATTTGGTTAATACTGGCATGAGCCGCCAGCTCGTCTGATACAATCAGAGGGCCTGGAAGGAGATATCTTTATATACACTCTTTGTTACGTGATCGCACGTCGGTCTGGCACTTGGGAGGGAAAAAAGCGCCCACTCTCTCTTTCTACGCCACCAAAAACCCAGTGACCCTCTTCTCTACTGTTCCCGGTTCTTTAAAATAGCACTTTAAACCGGAACAACTGGATTTTTGGTAGCAGACGCTTAAGTGGTAGATTACCCGATGTAGGTATATGAAGTAGAGCAGCGCATTCAGAGTTAACGTGCAAAGTATTAGCTTATCCTTTACTAGTAAACTTGCTTACAACCAAAACTAGTTATTTTTAGGAATTCAAATTCTTTGTACGGCTCTCCGACACTGCGCCCCCTTCAAGTGGCGCCCATGGCAGGTACGGTTACTGGCCAACATCCCTGGTTGCCTCTGGTACCGGACCATGGTACATAACGAGGTGAATCACGGAGACAACTTTATTTATTTATTTATTTAGGCATTTTTATATAGCGCTTATCATAAAGCTCTAAGCGCTTTACAATTATTAAAAACATGTAAACTAAGTAAATACAAATGAGACACTAGGTTAGTAACTACTATACTAATACTATAGAAACAATGAAAATGGCTATAAAAAGAGGACACTTTGACACTTCAGGATTAAACCGAAACAGAAAATTAGGTATGGCAAGGAGGGTGCATCACAGGTCATAGGCGGACCTAAACAGATGAGTTTTAAGGGACTTTTTGAAAATGGACGAGGTTTCACTATGACTTTATCGGAAGCAACCACGCGTGGACTTTATGAACAATGAGCAGTTGCATCTATATTAAAAAAGAATCAACAGGTTAATTTTAAAATCATTCATTGTGCAACCACTGACTACGTCCACTTATTTATTAATCACGTTACGATGAGCAAATCTTTTCTTGTCGGTTTTCCAGGAAACCTTCACCAAAATATTTAAAGGAAACACATTTATTTTCCTAGAATTTAAATTGCGAAATGATCATGACGAAAAGTGACACTGTTCAAAATGATACAAGTACAAAAAATTATACCAACATTTTTATTCAAACTGTGTGGTTTCAGAAAAGGACACAATTAATTCAATCTTAGGTTGTTGTTGTTTTGTTTGTGTGTGTGTTGTTAATTGGAGAAGAAATATAATTTAAGAATGGCTTATCAAGTGTACATTCTTTTGTTTCAAGAAAGTTGCATCATGATAACGTCGTCAGCTGCATCTAACAAACAAACACACATATTCTGGTGAAGATCTGAGATTACTCTCTTATGACCCCGGCTAGTAAATTGGCCATCAACTCCATCTGTTGAGCTGAGCCATACAACATTCTCCTCACTAAGGGTCCTCCAACCACCCTGGCTTCCCCCGGGAGATCTAGTGAGGGACATTCGGTTAACAGTCAGCTGCATCTAAAGTTTTCTAAATGTAATAAATTCTATTTTTGTTGTCCAATATTTCAGGTTTCCGGATCCGGTTGATAGGAACGTTGGCTGTTGTAACTATAGTAACTACGATATACATTAAGATCATGGAGAAGGCGGATACAACGCGTGCGACGAAAGAAGCCTACAGGAATGCATACTTGTATAAAAATGAGAACGGGAAAGAGATGCGAGTCAATCATGAAAGTGACGAGGATGATGTTTGGCCAAACAAACGAAACGAGTTTAAATATCGACAGGGGAGACAAGTTAAAACTATCCACTCCAAGGAAGCAGCTGGTGGTGTAACTTGGGGGCGCGGTGCACCGGGCAGAGGGCAAAGTCCAGCAGTCGGCGATGACAGTCTGGCGGGACGGTCAAGTTTGCCAGAAGTTATCACCTTGCCAGACGTGAAAAGTTTGCTGGGAGACGATGGCGTGGCAGACGACAGTGTCGCAAAGCGGCGAGGTACTAGACCAAGGGAGGAGGGGAGAGAAACAGCGACGGGTCAGAACACGCCAGGGAGGACGATGGAGGTCTCGGGGGGTGGTCGTTTAAAAGATGGATATGGTAACGGCAGTGTACTTGCAACTAAAAATGCACCAGCTTTTGGCAATGTACTAAGAGGGAGAATTGTACAAGAAGATAAGGGTGCCTTACATAATGGGACCGTCTCAGATGGTATTTTAGCAAAGTGGGCTGGTAGTAAAACAAGAATCACGGAAAGGGAACAGGCGCTTGGTCATAGCATGACAGGAAAAGAAGGGAATTCGTCCATTGGTGGTGGTGTATTTGAGGGTCACGGTAAGGGAAGTCCACCTGGAGCTAAAAGGGAACCAGGTGGTGATAGTGTACTTGGGGCTAAAAGAGAACCAGGTGGTGATAGTGTACTTGGGACTAAAAGAGAACCAGGTGGTGATAGTGTACTTGGAGCTAAAAGAGAACCAGGTGGTGATAGTGTACTTGGAGCTAAAAGAGAACCAGGTGGTGATAGTGTACTTGGGGCTAAAAGAGAACCAGGTGGTGATAGTGTACTTGGAGCTAAAAGAGAACCAGGTGGTGATAGTGTACTTGGAGCTAAAAGAGAACCAGGTGGTGATAGTGTACTTGGGGCTAAAAGAGAACCAGGTGGTGATAGTGTACTTGGAGCTAAAAGAGAACCAGGTGGTGATAGTCTACTTGTAACCAAAAGTGTTCTAGATGGTGACAGAGTACTTGGTGGGGAGATGGTACAAGTAAGTCATGGTGTATTGAAGAAAGAAACTATCCCAGATGGTGTATCAAGAGGCGGTCCTGTGACGGGAGGGCATAAAGTAACAGGAAGGGTAACTCTTCAAGGAGGTCATGATTTACCAAGAAAGGGAATTGAACCAGAACACAGAAAATCTCTAGGAAGTGGGGCTGTATCAGGAGGTGATAGTGCAGCTGGCGGGGCAATTGCCCCAAAGGGTAATGGTGGCCTTGGAAAAAGAATCGCACCAGAACATGAGGTTGTACTAGAAAGGAACAATTTACCAGATGGGAATAGTGTACAAGGACGTGAAATTTTACCAGAAGATGAGAGGGTAATAGGCATTGTACCAGGGGATACTGTGCCAACAAGGATTGTAACAGAATTAAGTACAGCGGGGACAAGTCCGAGTTTGCCTAATGGGAGGCGATCAACAACCGATAAAAATGGTGTATCTGATGAAGTTTTAAGAGACAGGTTACCCGACCCTTGGGGTTACTCGGGTGTGGGTAGTCGATCAGAGGATGTTATTGTACCGAGCGATGATGTTGCCAGGAAAGATCAACGTTTGCTAATACTTAATACTGATCTCGATAGACTGTTAAAAGAGGATTTTGTTAGCCCGGTACCTGTTGGCTTTTCGAGAGCCGATCATCTTAGATATGGAAGTAAATCAGGGGGAGGCCGGGTACAAGGCGTGGACGGTGTATCAGCCGGAAGTCGGGTGCAAAGCCCTGGCGGTGCATCGGCCGGAAGTCAGGTGCAGGGCACCAAAGATGTTTCAGCGGGAAGTCAGGGACAGGTCACTTTTGGTGCACCAAGGGAACGTGTGAATAAATCTCAAAGTGACAGTTTAAGATCAGGAGGAATTAAGACCACAGCTCCTCGTGTATCATTGGGAGGTGGGGCTAATGTACACAAAGGTATGGCTAATACACCTGTTGAAGGTGCTAATGTACACGGAGTTGTGGGTAATGTACTTGATAACGGTTCAAATTTAACTGTTGGTGATACTAATATACCTAGCCGTGGTGCTAACGTACCTGAAAACATAAATTATGTAATTGAAGCTGGTAAAATTGTACCAGGTGGTGGTATTGAAACAGACGCAAGTGGCAATGTACCCGGCGGTGTTCAAGCTGCATCAAGAAAAGGTACAAGGGTACATGGACACGTTGATATTAAATCAAGTGATATCACATCAAGGAAGGCTGTCAGTACATCGGAAGACGGTAAAAAATCCAGGATTGATAATGTAATATCAGGCAATTATGTACCAGATGCCCATGCTGAAACAACGAGGACTAGTGTACACAAAGTAAACAATGCGCCTGGTGAGGATTATATACCAGAAAAAAAAATTCCACAAAATCTCGAAGACCAAGTACGGGACGCCCAAAGCCAGCTTGGTGAATCATCTCCAGTCGGCAAACTTAAGCGGCAACAAAAAGAAAGGACGTTAACGGAACAAGTTACAGACTCAAAGGAAACTATTCCCAGGGGTAATTCGGTACTGCCATCAGGTAAATAACAAAAAAAATATTTTTTTTTAAAGTTTAATTATAAAAACTTTTTTAAACTGAAACAAATAAAGTAATTATTTTTCCCCCCCTGAAATGCTTTTTTATATAATTATCAAACGACCAAAGCATAGACTATATTCAAATTTAATTTAAATGAAATAATTTTAAAAAAAACGTTTTTTCCCCGTATTCCAGAATCCTTTAGGACACCAGTGCCCACGTTGACACGTCTTAAGATTAAAAATATGTCCAACACAGATCTACTCTCCGCCATTTCCAGACTACTGTCGCACGTTGACGTAAGGGAATTAGATAAGTACTAACCAGTAATTTTATATGTAAAAAAAAGTATAGTAACTTGTATATGAATATGCTTAGTATTTTTATATTTCAGTTAATCAACAATTGTATTCTTAAAGGCAGAAAAATGTACATGTATTTAACATTGATCTACTTAAATTACTTAAATTATAATGTAAGAGCACGTTCAAAACTACAGTTAAGTCTTCAGCCCAGCGTGAAACAGAGGGAGTCCTGCTTAAAGAATCATTAGCGTAGGAAATGGAGCAGAGTGGGCATTCCACCCTGTGCGGAAAATTTGTCTAAATATTGTAGGGGTAACTATGTCGGCCAACTGTATAGGGATTTTTCTCTTGCCCGGCCCCATGATGCACTAAAACTAGCTACTGCCCGGCAAAGAATTCATGTTTATTGGCAAGTCATTAAAAAGGGGGACCGTTATCTGACCGACATGTTATTTGAAAGTGGAACATGATTCCATTATTCTAGACTAAGGCTTAACTGGGTGCAGATTTTTTACAACGGGGGCCCTGGTATTTTGAGAAAATACCGGATGGGTCCAAGTGTTACACACAAAAAATGGTTAATTTCTCATTTTCTATAATTATTAACTTATGCCGGCCTTTAAATAATAGTGCTACAGTCAGTCTTGAACCCTATCTGCTGGCTATTAAACAGTCCTCAGACAGTCCTACAGATGGTACTACACCACACCGGTGGCTCTTATTGATTTTTATACTTGCCTCCCCCTAAGCAGAGAATTCAACCTTTTTTTTTTAACCGGAGTTCAAGAGTCAAGCATGAAACCTCTCTGCGTGACATCCTTTTTTCACTCAGCATTATCAATATAAAACATGTGGGACAGGGAAGGGCCGGTTGTGAAAAGGAAGCAGGGCGAACCATGAGCAAAACATACATAAGATAAATCGTTAATCCCCTGGCCACTTTATGTGCTATGCTTCAAACAGATCCGGTGTCACAGCATTCACAACTATACTGGTCTTTTTGGCGGTGTATGGTTCCTTTGTGATGACCCCGGGGTGAGCATTGAGCCGCCGTGTCAGATGTACTCATTCAGTGTGCAGGCCGACCTGGCTCTAGACGCCACCGTCGCAGAGGAGCGGAAGTGCACTGTGACCTCAAATGACCCGAACTTGGAGAGCGCAAAAGGGTTAAATCGGTAAAAAAATTGAAATACCGATATCTTAATTTATTTTTTTTTTAAATTCAGATGTTAAATTTTTCTTTAAAGCTAAGAATCAATAACAGGGACATGGACTTTGATTTCACCGAGTATTGACTGACCTACTTAAACGAAAACGTCCCTTCCTGAGTAAACAAAGGGACAGAACTCCGTTTAAAAATGTATATGTTATTTTAAAACAAAGAATAACCTATGAATTTTAATTTCTCGATTTCACTATCGCTGCATTTTCAAAATTTCACCGACAGTCACCATGGTCACCTGACAGTCACCATGGTAACCTGACAGTCACCATGGTCACCTGACAGTCACCATGGTCACCGTAGCTCGCAAGTATTATTTTCTACAGATTTGTCACAGTATTGATTTTTATATTCTCTTTCAGATATACCTTCAATTTTAACATATCCCTATTAGTATCTACATTGATTATAATCAATTCTACACCGATATGTTCGATTGTTTCTTAGCCTAAACTTGCTAGTCTAGTATTTTCTCAGACAGTAATGGGCTAATACAGATTATCATAAACCACAAATCAAGACTAAGTCAGCTGTGAATGTTCTTTGGCATCACTGAGGGCTCATAAACTAATCAAAATAAATATATTCAAATAGAAATTAATCAACTGATTACTACTTTTTAAAAATCCGATAGGTATAGTTAAAAGTATTTATTTTTAAAAAATTCAAAATATTTTTTCAAATTTTTTAATTATTATGATTATTAGTTATTGATTTCATTTTTTAAAATAATTTTTGTGGGGACAAAAACATTTTTTTTAAACATACAGCTTTTAATGTTGTTATACGTTCTTTTAATTTGCACCTTTTGTACTCTTTGTCTATTCACACCATTCACTTAATCTTTAGATTATCTTGTTTCTTTAGATTTTAGATTGTCATGTTTCTTTAGATTTTAGATTGTCATGTTTCTTTAGATTATCACGTTTTTTTTTAGATTATCATGTTTCTTTAGATTATCAAGTTTTTTTTTAGATTATCAAGTTTCTAGTTTAGGTCTGTGTTTTATAAACCGGTTACAAATATAACAAGAAAGAGAACGATGAAGGAATAATAATAAAAAATATGTATGCTTTGTTAGAATAAAAAAAACACCAAATATTTCAAATGTATTTGACAGGTCAGCCCCAATGTCCTCTGCAGCCAACCAACATGTACACCACCCGCGAACCTTCACATCCCTGGACGTCGACTCGGAACTTGGCCGAAATCGAACCAGTCTTGATGTCATCAAGATGGACGTGGAAGGTCTGGAGTGGGGCGCCCTTCCCAGGATGATCGCCTCGGGTCAGCTGACCGGCGTCCGGCAGCTCATCGTCCAGTTCCACGTGTACGACACGCGGCGCGGACACCTGACCCGTCAACTGCGGTGCATCCAGACGTTAGAGAAGGCGGGCTTCAAAAAGTTTGTCTCTCGCTTCAGAGACTGTCAGCAATTTATCAATGAGAGTTATTTCGACAGTAAATGCTACGATGTGGGATTCTTGAGGATATGAATATGAATGAACCTTCTCTTCTGTGGTCGTTTGTAAAGCTAAATTCATACGACAATGAAATAGAGAATGTGTGTGTTTATTTTTAAAGATGTAAAATTTTTAAAGAATTTTATCAAGGGTGTCTAGTTTGAAATAATGTTGATTTTAAGAAAATGTTTTTTACATTAAGTCGGTAGATAAAGTTTTTTTAAATAAATATGTATCTTATACAGCATGTATAGCGTAGCTATTTTATGCATGTAGCTATTCCTATTTGATCTATTTCGGACGAAAGGCCCATTATAAATGCGTCCCTCGGGTTTAAAAGAAACAATGTATTCACATCTCAGCAACTGCCACAATCGCAATGAATGACCTTTACATGCGGTGCGTAGGTTCAATAACTTAGTATCGATACTGCTGTGAGATGCTTTAAAAGCCATTTAACACCAAGCACATACGTATAACTATAACGAATAGTCGATACGTAAATAAATGGTGACGTGAGAAAAAAACTTCGAATGAATGAGTTAGTTCTATTAATAGCTCTGCAATGAGACGCATGAGAAGATGCAACTATCTGAACAATTATTGTTTTTACTAGTACAAAATAATAAAGAGGTTTTAAGAAATGTTTGATCGATTCCACAAAATTACCGGAGCGTGTTGTAGAGAAGCGGCTTTTTAAAAAGTGAATAAAAATGTGAAAGGCGTTGCCGTTTCTGTGAAGTTATTCCGTATTAATGAGGAATGCACCAAGATATTTGAGGCACGAGTCGTTTACCAGTGTCTGGAGTCTGTCAGATTTTATGACCCCGATGTCCGGTAAAATGGTGAATCGGTTAAATTGTTGTGGTTTACATTACCACATTTAATAAACCGTTTTGACTGTTCGCTGATAAAGTGGCTAAATTTTTTTTGTTTTTTAATGGTTAAAAAAAAATGTCACTTCTTCGTATATTAAAATAAAAGCAGTCACCAAGGACTCGCCCTGGTTCACATACCGTAAGCCTCTCTTCCCTGGGAGCTTGAAATGAGTTTAAGTTTGATATAAAACCCTGCGAAACATTTGCGACGTTCTCTCATATCATTAGGTCACTTGCAGGTCACTAGAAGGTCATCTTTGAAAACATTCAGTCAATTTTTTTTGAATTGGTATCTCAAAATCTCCAACCACCGTCACCCTACCCCTCTTGCTCACGGCCCGAGTGCAGCTGAGGCCATCACATCGTAATGGTCAGGGAAACGTTGAATTGGAAAAAGTGACCCCTGTAAATCAAACGACTCTACGAGAATGGACAAATCACGAGGAAATATTTTAAAAAATTAGAAGACATTTGAGAGTGATGTAGAACTTTTTTTTTTAAATGGAGTCAGAAAGACATTTAAGACAGAATCAGACCATGCTGACACGTTGGAATGAAAAACGTCATTACAGTTAACTTTGCTTTGAAATTTAGCACACAAAAAATGTCTTCCTAACGTACGAAAACAGCGAATACGTCAGCTACATCAACATTTCCTATGGTCCAATTGGTGTATCGGTCACCCGTGGAGTATTTGAACACCGGATACACGGGGTAGTCCTCCCACGGGCAGTCACTGAAAGTGCCTTTGTCCAGGACCACAAACCAGCCGAAGTCTCCTGGGCATCCATCGTAAGCGTGGTTCATGAAGAATCTCCGCCTGAGATGATGAAATTCCTTCTCGTAGGTCCATCCGTCAATGCTGAAAACGTTTGCAGTTTCAGTTTTTAAATCTGTCCAAGACGCGGTTTCGATCCTGTCCTGACTGAACCAGTTCATGTTGGTCGTACCGCGGCCATCAAAGACGACACGCCTCACCTCGGTGTTGTTCTTGTAGACGATGAAAGCCACCTGATTGACGTTTGACCAGTTGTCAAGGATCGTGTTGTTTCCGTAATGGCTGGTGCAGGGTAGCGCTGACGTGATCTGAGAAATGGAATGGGAGTTGTTGTTTTTTTCTTTCAGAAATGGTTAAACGGCACTGGTTTCTGTTTAAAAATAGCTTTAACTTAAATAAATTATGGTACATAATTTCAGGTTGAATTTTTTTGTGTTTTTTGCGTGTTTTTGTTTTGTTATTGTTTTTGCGTTGTCATTTACATCTAACCTGTTTGCAGCCGGGCTCGACCGTCTGACCATTTCCTTGGTTGGTTGTGTATGCGTCGTAAACGGACTGATTGATGCGAGCCGTCCCACGGAAAGCCAACGTCCAGCCTCTCATGGGATCATTGCATTCCTGATCTGGTTTGATGTAGCTAACTTCCACGTCAACTTCACCCTCGCTATTCATATAATTGAGCTGACACTTGAATGACCCGTGGTCACAATGGGATCCCAGTTTTAATGCGACCTCTAGGTGCATTGGTAGTGACGTTGCCGGGTCAGCCGAACAATCTGGCAGACCAGAGACGGACGCCAAAAGGACACTTCCGTCTGTGACGTCATACACCTTTATGCCCAGGATTGACCTCGTACCTGCAGGCAGGTTGTTGGCGTAACACTGCAGCCTGCCGCAAACATCGCTTGTGGAGTCTTTTGAAATAGTTTTCGTGAAGTCCAAACCTTTAAATTGAAGCAGCAGATGATAATAATACATCAAGCTTATGTAAACGTCTTAAAAATAATATTAGCTATATCAAATTTTAGAAAACTTTAATGAAGGCCGAGTTCCTCAAATACATTTTTTACCTTTACCTAACAATGCTTACTTGGTGTTTTGAATACTTTAATCCTTGGGTACAAGAGACAAGAATGTTATTTAAGATATTAAGGATGAATTTCAGCTCCATTTACTGAGATGATGATTTCTTAACTGACTAGAGATCTAACACTGACAAATAATTGTTATTTTTCTTGCCATAGAGCAGGGGTGTCCAAAAAGCGGCCCACGGACCGCATGCGGCCCAGGGCGGTAATAAATATGGCCCAACTTACAAATTGTATGACATTACGACTAGAAGTATTGAGGGCGAATAAAATTACGGAATAATTAGCTTATTTTGTGCCACTGAAAGCAACACTTTAATCAAGAGATTTTTACTATGCAGAACAATACTCAAGCGACCTTCAGCGTCCATTGTGAACATTTTTGGTATAGCTAACGATTGTTCCTTACGTGATGATAGGTTTAAAATGGACTTTTAAAAATAAATTAAAAGAATTTCAATTGACTGTCAAAATTAGGTTTGATTAAATATCACTGCATAGAAGAAGTAGCCCAATTAATTTTATGCGAAAATGCTTTAAAGATTGATATCGCCATGCACTTGCAGATTGTCATCAAGGTTGAAGATTGATATCTCGTCCACTGGCAGATTGTCATCAAGGTTGAAGATTGATATCGCCATGCACTTGCAGATTGTCATCAAGGTTAAAGATTGATATCGCCGTGCACTGACAGATTGTCATCAAGGTTAAAGATTGATATCGCCGTGCACTGACAGATTGTCATCAAGGTTAAAGATTGATATCGCCGTGCACTGACAGATTGTCATCAAGGTTAAAGATTGATATCGCCGTGCACTGACAGATTGTCATCAAGGTTAAAGATTGATATCGCCGTGCACTTGCAGATTGTCATCAAGGTTAAAGATTGATATCGCCGTGCACGTGCAGACTGCCATCAAGGCCAGGGGATTGACATTGCCGATTCCAGGAATTAATTATGGCTGCTGGCTATGGGGCCAACATATCAATTTCAGAAGTAAGATGGTTATGTTGAGGTTAAATGTTGAAACGATTTCACGATTTGCGTTGGGAAATGAATACGTTTATGGAATCAAGAACAAAATTTGTGCCATAAATTGACCACAAAAAAAAACACAAAAAAAAAAACTAGCTCACAAGATCATAGACTTGACCTCTAAAATTTTAAGTTTTTAAATTAAAACATTTTGTACTAAACGATAGATGCCATTTTCAATGCGCCTTCACACATTTCTTATCTTCAATGTTATTTACATTATATTTACATATGTAATGACATAAACACGACTGATCGCAAGTCTGGGTGGTGGCAGCCAAAATACACAACCTAACGTTTCCTTGGTCAATTTGCTTAGTTTCGTAAATGAACTAGTAGAACAATGTATGGCGGTAGTAGAACAATGTATGGCGGTAGTAGAACAATGTATGGCGGTAATAGAACAATCAATGGCGGTAGTAGAACAATGTATGGCGGTAGTAGAACAATGTATGGCGGTAGTAGAACAATGTATGGCGGTAGTAGAACAATGTATGGCGGTAGTAGAACAATGTATGGCGGTAGTAGAACAATGTATGGCGGTAGTAGAACAATGTATG